GGGCCAAATTGGGGTCGGGCTAAAAGAGTTGGGATTATATAATACTCAATGATTAAATACATACTAGAAGGGAAAATAAGCAATTCAACAGTCTAATAACAACTCAATATTTTTTTAATTTTGTTTTTATAGCAGAGGATGACCTAAACTTATTTGGAGTCAAAAGAACGTGGGGGCATGTGGGGTACCTTCTGTCATTGCAGACGTAGCTTGTTTGATCCCTCCAACAGCCGACAAAACTGCCATCAAATTGGAAAATAAAAAATTTGTAATAGTAAAGTCAAAAAAAAAGAAGAAACTTTGATTTTGTCTTATTGCACAATGTTCAACTCAAATGACCATGGAAGTGAAGTGATTAAAAGAAAAGAATTAGAAACCTGAGATGCAAGGAGTGAGAACACCGTCACCAATGACCATGGAAGTACCAAGCATGGTGGCGAATAATAAGAAGACTTTGGCAAAGGGGCTGTTCTCTAATTTAGATTTCAACCTCGATGCTCTCTTTAGGCGTTTGCTCGGCAACTCCAGCTCAAAATTTGAGACATCCCGATCCTCTGCTTGTTGACTCGGAGTCAAACCAACCTTGGCATATCGACATAGCAAAGAGTATAATGCGAACGTTCCTCCTGCCATATAGAAAGTAAAAACAAAGTCAAAAGATAATCTGTCATATATCATGCGTATTGAAATTAAATAATTAAATAATTAATTATATTAGAATGACTATAGTCTATAGATGAGTTCGTCCTTGGTCATCGTTGTGTTGCTTTAATTCCTAGTTACAGGGTCACAAGATGACACAAGGATACATCAAAGTTAGGACTTTTGGTCAGATTAAAAAACAAAAACAAAATGACTAAAAACTTGGATAACAAGTAGTCGTCGTGACTCGTGCATTTCGGTGGTACCTATTTAAATGACTAAAAACTTGTATAAAAAGTAGTCGTGAGTCGTGCAAATATATTTAAATAAAAAATTCAGAACAGCAAGCACAAGAATAATATACAGCTAATTTAAGTGAAATATTATGGATTTATTAAAGGATGTAGCTAGGATGAGATCTTACCGTCGCCGTTATCGTTTGCCCGTAAGACGACGAAAACGTACTTCATCAAAGGGATTAAGGTGAGGGTGTAAAGGATCAAAGAAAGAACACCCAAAATGTCGTCGTTATGGTTGATGCCTTTGGTAAAGGTGCTTGAATACACATAGAGAGGTGATGTACCGATGTCCCCATAAACTATTCCAATGCTCTGAAATGCTAGGTGCAATATCACCGACCACTCCGCACCCTAGAACAAATTACAAGTTATATACATAGATATATATACAAACAGACCAGAAATTGAATAACAAAAGAACAAGAAATGAAAACGGAGACCTTGGAGGCATGGCCATGGTGAGCAGTGAAACTGCGTGACTCGAGGTCCAAGGAGTCGTATCTTCGCAACTTTTGCCATGAAAGTTTCCTGGCTTTGAGCTCCTGATTCTGATGATGATCAGGAACTTCTTGATGATCTGTGGCGTTTTCCAATATTACCTCTTCATCAGGCATTTCTGTGATTCCTAGATGAGCTAGCTTATAATTAGCTAGTTGAAATCTGGGGAGAGAGTTGAAATCTGGGGGTGCGTAAGCATGGGGAGCTGTACTACTTCTTCCTATATGTGAGGATATGGAGGGTCATATTTAAAGGCAAGTTAAGCCCACAGCTGATCATACTTGTATACTTATACGGGTATGCACTCGTATACTTATACGCATATGTACACGTACGTCACAAGTTAGAATAAAAAGAAGCATGGAAACCAATCCCATGGAGCTAGCAAAACAATAGCTTAGCTAGGACAAGAGCTTGACCTTGTTTTGTGAGATTAATGTGAAGCTTACCTAATTAACGGGACCTCCGAGGCCGAGATGTTGATGGAGATCTTTTTTTATTGCCACATCTTTTTAATTAATCAATTATTACAGGATCATGCCCTTTGTTTTTCTTATAATTATAGTACTATATATTCAGAAGTTGTAATTTTACAAGTTAAATGTCCCTAGTCCACTTATGAAATTTCTACTCGATATATTATCAAATTTGGTCTCCTTTTGGTTTGGCCTAGGAGTTTTAGTGCCCATATTGCCCACCAAATATTTATCTAAATTTGAATATACGCTTAGTTTAATACCTAATAACTTAACTTCGTCATCATATTTTATACTGGCTGTTTATAGCTGGAGAAATTTTTATGTGTTCCATGTACACCACATTATTGGTCATATTGATCACGTAAGAAAGTTATAAACAAAATTTTATATCCCGGAGTTTACTCATGTACGTACCTTTCAATTAACTTCCCTTTTTTCTGAAAAATAAGAAGAAAAAAGATTGGAATTTTTTGTTAGAATTCTTTATAAATAATTGGAAAGAAAATACAAACCAAAAAAAGAAAAAGAATAAAATTCAATTGGAATGGCAATGAAGAAGAAATTTCTAATATGAATACTGGGGGATTGTGACACAATCTAAGGTACCTAGTCAGATTGGAGGCCGTGACTAATGATCAGAAGTCAAACTTTGTGACACAATCTATACAGGCTTCTTGTACAAATGGAATTAAAACTTAGCATTAGCATGAAAACCAGAATAGGAAAAGTAATTAAACATGATAACCAAAGTTTAGGTTTTGCAGCTAATCAGAAGACGATTGTTGCTGCTTAGTTATAATCGGATAGCTTAGAGCAAAAGTCAAAGTAGTTTTCTAGTAGAAGACGCCACGTGCAATTTGGTCTTCGTCACGTGTGACATGTGTATCTGGTTTAGCCTTTATGCTTTTGGCAGTATCAGAGGAAGGTGACAACTGTTTGACTATGGCATGGCATGCATGCAGATATGCAGTATGGCGCAACCAAAGCTTATAAGTCATAACCCTTCGGCATTGTCAAATAACACTGCATGAATCATGATGAGGAGAGAAAGGGTGCAATGAATTATGAATCTTCCCCAAAAAATATATATATATATATATATAGCTGGGGTTAACTATCACAACAGGTAATTTGGTATCTGAACAGTATTAAGATACTTTTAAGTTCCAAAATTAACGCATCAACAGTTAGAATCACATCACGCACTTGAAGACGATTGTAAAAAGGTATAATTTGGATTTCCTTTACGGCCGCCTCTGTATTGTAATTTACATGAGAGCAATTATGCAGTTAACTTTTTGTATTTTTTAACTATTGTGTTGGAGTTTTGTCGATTGGACCACCCAAAAATAATTAACCTTGGTTTATTGTATATTTTAACCTAAATTAGGTATCTGTCATGAGCTGATCATAGAGTATATGTCCTTGCGGCCTCGGTGCTTACCCCATATTGAGATGTGCACCAAACCTAAGGCCAAGGCCAAGGCCAACCCCCTCCCCTCCCTCGGCTATGTTATGACTTGTGTTGCAGAAAGCCTAATAGAATTGTTTGCTTAGAAAATGTTTTAGCTGCTGAATCCCAGACTCCATGTGCGGCCTGCTGTCTGCTGTGTCATTGCAATTATAAGTAATTGTGAATTAACTATGAAAATACAGCCAACAACAACTACCAATATATATACCATATCACTTCTGATCAGTCTGTCCAATTGATTCTGCCAACTAATTTATTTTTCATCTGTCATATTAATAAATTGATTAATTAATATGTTAAGTTAATTATTTTCTAGTTTCTTCTACCAGGTTCTTTGTTGCCGGTTCCCATGCACCAAATTGAAATATACGTATAATAATACTAGCCTCTCCGCATGCGCTTCTGCGCCTGCGAAAAGCTTTTTTTATAAAAAAAAAAAAAATTATTTTAGAATTAAAAAAATATTATGGGTAGTTGTGTTTTATAAAAATAGGATATATTATCTGATTTTTCTTTTAATTTTATTTTTTTAATATAAAAACGTGTGAATTTACAATATTATCTTCATTTAATTAATAATTTCAATTCTTAATGTTTGCATTAACCAATGACATTTTCAGGTATTTTGAATGTTTCACCATTCTCTGCCTTCTGCTTTAATATATAGATGCATGGTTTGTGAAAAAACAACAATTTGATAACAACCATTGCGCTTTTTCTAATGAACAAGGCATGCATGCTCTGATTGCATATTAAAAGATTCGGATTATGCGGATGCATATAGCTTCTACTAATAAAGCAAACAAGTCGCGTAAAAACAGTGTTGTTGACCTCTTGGCTCTACCAAATTGTTGTTGTTGTTGTTGTGCATGCACTGTGTTTCAAAAGCACTTACGCATGTCCATCCGAGAATATTCCAAACTCACAGACAAAAATTTACGCGTGTTGTGGTTGCTTTGCTTTGCTGACAAAAATTTACGCGTATTGTGGACGAATAGATTTTCGAGCAAAATAATATATCGTGTGGTTTATGCGATTAGACTTTCGGGTAGAAACGTCTGTAACTTATTAAATGCTAGACTTATCATATTTTTCATACTATATTGTATACCACATTTCTAATAAAGGTAGCCCACCAATACAATGGAATCCCCCTCTCTAGTATAAAGGTGGCATTTTCCTATTTTGAACATGCTGCCGACATAACACAATTATCCAGTTGACTACTGTTCTTGGGTCTCGGAAAGATATTCCAACTCAAAGACAAAAACTTCTACGTGTTTTCTGTCTGCCATCGAAAACTAGTCACTTAGATGCTACAAAATATTGTAGATCGTCTTGACACCTATGATAATTAGGTATATGATTTGGGAAAATAATGTATATATTTTGGATTTTGCGATTAGAGTTTTCTCATATAAACGGCTACAAGATCTTGTCAAACATGTAGCTGAGACAACAGAGTTATCTAGTTCACTATCCTATATATCTGTAGCTACAGTTTATATCCCCCATGTTTTAATATCAATTTCTGGGGCTTTATGTCTTAATCATCCTTCATCCTTACAAATTAATGTCTCTTAACGAGTAAAGAGAATTAGCGATCAATGCAGGCAATAAATTTAGGCCTTCATTAGCAGCAGCACATAAGCGTGAGTACATGACACAGATTTCCTCCAGATTAACAAAATATGCACCGAAGAAATGGGAAAATTAGGTGCATAGTTTAGAGGAATAATTTATACTTACAAAATTTGTCATTCACGAATTTCACTTTGCCTGTTTTACAGGGCCGGCTGATGCAAATGAATGACGCATACAACACTCCAATCTCTACAAAAGGCAATCGTGGTTGTCCTAAGCTCGTCCCTTTCTCAGGGCCTTGTCAAAAATTGGATTTTCAACCAAATCTTTAGCTGATGGCCTCCAAACTGGATTTGGGTCCAACATGACCTGAGAGATTTGAGAAAATATAATGCAATCAGAAACGCCATCACAGGGTACTTTTATTAGCCCAAACCAGTAATAGCATAATATCATGGGAAATCAAACAATGGATATGGAGAGCCGCAGACAACAGCATTGTTAGTATGATTTCATATGAAAATGTCCTGGCCTTTTCATCTGAAGAGCCTTTTACTAATTGTAGCAAGCGGACATTTCAGGGATTATTTTCTTTCTACCTCATTCCCGCTTGCAATTATCAGCAAACCAAATTACAATTTACAATTGAAATGATATTGTACATACAAAGTAATGGGGTAGTTTTCATTATCAAACAAAATTTGATTTCACATTGCAAGATTTAAAAAGAGGAGGAAGTAAATTATTATTTCATGCATTTTTCTCAATACAAACCCCTAGTGAAGGATGAATTCATAACTTAGAAACACCTAAACAGAAAATAGTGTTTCTTATAAGACTTCAGGCTAATGCACACAAAAAGGTGAAACAGTCACAACTTCACGGTTACAAAAGAAAAGCCAACCACAAACGGTAACAAAAAAATTATAGTACCTTGAGTAAGTTCTGAAATTGCAGTGAATGGCCAGGAAGGAGTGGCAATTTTCCCTCCCTAAGATTTAAAATTTGAGGTCCTGATTCGGGCAAAGGTGAACCTCTAATAAGCTCATAAATAGCAACTCCCAAGGAGAAAATATCAGCCTTGTCAAGATCGTCATATTTCTCATTCAGGATTTCTTGAGGCATATATCGAGCATCACCCTCTTCAATTGGTAGGCTTTTATCAAGTAGAGTTGCACATCCAAAGTCACCAAGCTTATAAACACCATTCTTGACATATATATTATCAGGTTTTACATCTAAATGAGCTATTCCCTTCCTGTGTATAAACTGCAACGCCTTTGCAATCTGTGTATGTGATTGTATGAGAAATAAGTATATGCCAACAGAAGCAGAAACCTTGTCATGCTAAAAAGAACACAAATTAATTTGAAAATTTTGGCCTGCCAAATAGGATCTTGACCTCAGATTTATGTCAATTCCTGTGTGTGTGCATGCATGCGTGAGTGTCTGTAATTTGAGTAGGGACATTCATTAGATTAAAGCCATTCCATCTTGTTTAACATAGCAACATGACATTCCTTCAAGTAGGAAAACAGAACATCTAAAATTATCAAGGGATTGAAATCAACACCGCTACTGCGCATCTAAAAAAAACCACACATGTGTCAAGGAAAGGACTTATACTTCAATTGGTGACGAAAACAGAACACAAACACAAACACATAAATATTATTAGTTTTGCGTAATTAAGAATCACGAGGAATCTAAATTCCCCTGACATAAACGATTGAATGTAGGTCTTCATGATAAAGAAAGTGGTAAACAGCTGATTACCGACCTAGCAACCCTGTCTATCATTACTTCTTTTATGTGTAAATGTTCAGAGGCTCCTATAGTGTAGTGAAAACAGATCACTGCAATGCAGTCAATCTAGTAATAGATTTAATGCTAGAACCTTGTTCAGTTTCAACTTTCAAGTGAGATCTTATTAAAAAAACACACAAACCTGAAACAAGGTTTCCAAAATTTCTCCCTCTGTGAAGGTTCGGGAAAACTTGTTGATGGATAAGCTGTGATCGCATAATTCCATCTGAATGTAGAGCTGCTCATTTTCAAACCAAGACGAGTAGTATCCAACAATATTTTCATGGGAACCTATGGAAGGAAAAACAGTTAAAACATAAAAGGAATTGCTATGAGGTCAAAAAGATGAAGCAGAAACACAAACTGAAAACATATATATATATATATGCATATATCATGCAAATGTACCTAAAGCTGCCAAAGATTGAACTTCCATCAAAGCCTTTCTCCTGCAAAGGATGCAAAAGAATTACGCATAAGAATATAGCTTGACCAAATGGCAGATATATCTAAAGCATGAGTAAGCAACCTTTCTGTGTCCTGATGCAACTGCTTCATGCTACGTTTCACAGCATACAAACAACCATCAATTCTGTTCAAGGCTTTAAAAACATGACTGAAGTACCCACTACCAATTTGCTGGAAAGTGACAGAAAATTACAAACAAGTTAGTCAAGCACAACAATATTAAGAATTTAGAAATAAAAAAGCACTGGTGGTATGCTTAAGTTCAAATGTTCTTAGGATCTGGTAGATACCTCAATCTCATGAAAATCAGCGCAATAGCGTGAAAGGCCATTTCCTCCCATAATTGCAGGGAAGAAAGCTGTACATTGCACCATTATGTAAGCAGAAGTTGAAAATTGAAAATGAAATAAAGGATTTCTGTTAATGTCTTAATACCGAAATAGAATTATATTAGCAGCTGACAGAAGTGTACCAGCACATTTTGATCTTTGGTTGCCAAGAGGATCAATGTCCATTTCTGAAGCATCCTTTAAATATGGATTCTTAAAACATGGAGGAGGCATGACACGACAGCGTAAAGCCACTGCAGATTGAGATACATAATTTTGTGTCTTTCGAACTTCGGTAACTGTTGCTTTCTCCATCTTAGCTTCATCTATGACAAAAGCATCCGTTCCCAGTTCCACTATCTGCTGATTTCCGGAAAATGTTGGGCTGAGTGGATTCAATAAGAAATCACCTGCAGAAAGTATGGATTTTTAATTGCAACGCTAATACCCAATAGATTTTCATCAAAGTTTACTCAATAAACAGTGCATAATTTTCTACATTGGAAAAATACAGATAAAAAAGCACAATCATAGTTGTAGTCTTAGTCTGACCCTGTCTGCGTCTCTTGGATTTAACCGTATTTGACTTCTCTGGTGATTTGGGGCAAGGGATATTTTCCTATACAAGGTAGAAACAAAGCTATTAAAACAATACTTTTAAAACGCAGCTCAAATTTACAGAAAGTATAAAATTCAATCCATGGTACCTTATTGCAATCCCAACCGCTCAACGTATGTTGATTATCTGGGGTGATATAATCAGGGGTACTGCATTAATCGGAACAAAAAAAAACCGAATTTTTCATTAATCATCTGAATCTGAGTATTAAAAAGCTTGAAAATTTATAAATAAAATCAAGGATGCGGGGAAATTTACCAGAAAAAGTCTTGGCTGAGAATGAAATCTCTGTCGTCAAAATTGGGGTCAAGATCAGTACCGAGAGGAGACGATGAGGGAAGGATGGCGTCGGCAGCTCCGGAGTCTAGAAGGTTCTGGAAGCGAGAGGGGTTGGAAGAAGATAATTTTGATGACGTGGGGAACGACAATTGGTGGCTTTCACCCAGCTGAAGCCTTGCTAGTGCTCCCTTCATTTCCCTCCTACTCTTCTTCTTGCTCGTATTTAGGGTTTCGGCCAAATCGACTGTCTCTGTGTCTCCTTTGGCCCTGTCTGATATATTTAAAAATAGAAACTTGAAGGGATTTGTTGGGCATAAATCACATCAGAAGCAGAAGAGTGAATTTCAAATCGCGCGGGATTGTCGAGGGCAAAATGGATTGGGTGGAACAGGAACTACCTTACGGTTCTCTAATATTTAATCTTGTCCGTAGATCGGGAGACCCACTCTGGGCATCGGGTAATTTCGTGGAAGATTTGTGTACGACGTTAGATGGGATTTATCATGTGATGAGTCGCGTACCATGTAAGCCATTCTCGTTATGGAGGGAAATAAGCTTTTTCAAAATTAGTGCGCGCTGCACGAGGGCAACCTAAAATTATTATATTATTTGATGGGCTAGTGGGCCGAAGAAAGTGTAAAGCAATTTTCCCTTTGGCAAAACTAGATTAAAGAAAACAATATTATTATAAATAAAAAAAACCCCATACTCTTTAAATAAATTATATTTAGGAAGTATAGCCACTCGGCTATACTCTATAAATATAATATCACACTTAATGTAGTGGTAAGTTATTTGCCCCATGGTGTAGATATTTGCAGCTATCTTGATGTTTAATTAATATTTTTGAATTTATGGCTGCAGTTTGCAGTGCTGTTGGAGTGTTGCCTTTTTCTCTTCAATATGAATTCTCAGTTGTTAAGAAGTACGCTACTCATGGTTGTTTCAATTATAGTTGAATCATTTCTGAAGTTTGTGATGCAGAGATTCGATTTCTACTCCATTAGTCAATGCAGATTAGGTTTTAATTGTTTAATCTGTTTTCTCTAAGTAGAGGAATGCAGTGAATATAGAGAAACGAAAACTTCTATTGCTCCTTTGAAACCAAGAGAAGAAAAAAAATTAATTGTTGCTTTCTCCAGTAAATATATGTACTTGAGAAACAATTCTGATCCATGTGGTTTTTGAGCCTCTGCATTACTCTTTCAAGAAAGAAAATGTGGAAGATAATATTTCAGATAGGGCGCATGATGTGTTTAAGATATTTCCTGTTATTTGATATTAACAGTGAATTTTTGACGGTTGGACCAAGAAACTAATTGGCATTTTTGCAGCACATATATGATTAGAAGCCGTGCAGGAGGTTACACTGATATCAGATATATGCTTTGAAAACAATATATATACATAAACACTGAGTTCTGATCTCGGTGTTCTGATTCCGGAAAGGCAAATTCCAGTTCACTTTCAATGCCCCCTTCTATTTAATAGGACAAAGATCTATAGTTTTGTTTCAACAGTTGGTGAAATGATATGTGTATACTAACTAGGATGTTATATTTCCTACTCAAAGGGTTCTTAAAGGGAGCTTTTTTTTTTTGTCTGAGTTATTAAAGGAGCTTCAAACATTGATCAGCACCATTTTTTATTGCTTGAGTGATTGTCTTGCATTTTTTTTATTGGAAATGACGAGATGGTATGGTACATGTAACACTGGTTACATAAATATTTGTGCACAATGAACCTCATCGAAGTTCCACTTCATTCATATAAATGTATGTTTGCTTTTTTTTAAAACGTATATTTTACCAAGTCTTTAATACATGTATGAAAAATAAAAGTATTATTGAAAAATACGAGTATTAAATGGGAAAATGCTAAATTCTTTATACGGTTAATAACTTTGAAAAAGTAAAAAATCAAAAGGGGACAATAGAGACTCAGGTAATGACCTAATAGTAATGGATAATGCTCTAAACTAATCTTATTGATATATAAAAAATAAAAATAAAAAATAAAAGGACCTCAGTATATATAAAAAAAGGACCTCGGATCTCTGACTTCCAAGGTCACCATCATATGCGGGTATGCACAAAACTTCTTGGTTGAACATTTTAACAAAGTCCTTGACCTTACCCTTAACTTTGCTTCTTCCATGATTATCTCTTGAGTTCCTTGGTGAACCTTGGAAACTAGCTTTATCAACGTCAACATTCGTCAAGGAACTCCTTTTTCCATTCTGATTTTTTGCAATTTTGTTAGGGCCAACATCTACAGAAGATTTTTTGGTGCCTTTGACCACACTTTCCTTTCTACCACCCACTTTAAATATCACATCATTGCCTGCATAAGAAAATACAACTGTGGTGTGCTCGCGAACTTGTTCCAAAAGCACAGGGCTTTCTTTTCGTGGGGCTCTGCCAGAAGCTGTTTCAAGTAAAAGTTAAGGCTCTATATCTTCACTTCTATGGCATGAGACTCGTTAAATATAATAATATATGTAAATAGTATACCCGTTAAATACTAGTATAGCCGCGCGGCTATACCATTTATTTAAAAAAAGATAATTTATCTAAACCGTACAGCCGCGCGGCTATACGGTTTATTTTAAACAATGATAATTTATTCAAAGGGTATAGCCGCACGGCTATACGGGTTAACTATAATAATATATGTAAATAGTATCGCTGGGCGGCTATACTATTTATTTCAAAAAAATGATAATTTATTTAAAGAATATAGCCGCACGGCTATACACGTTAATAATAATAGGATTATTCACAGCAATGGTCCCTCAACTCAAATATTAGTTGCAGAGGTCACTCAATTAGGTGTTTTGTTGCACCGTTAGTCCTACCGTCAAGTCTCTCTAACAGCAGGGACTAATGGTGCAACACAACACCTAATTTAGTGATCAAAATGGAACTCCGAGTATAGTTGAGAGATCATTGTTACAAATAATGTTAACTGAAAAGTCACATTTGCCCTTCAATAATTTAAGAGATGCTTGCAACGTCATCATTTTAAACATAAAAAGTAACAGACTTGACGTTATGACTAACGGTGCAATAAAACACCTAATTGAGTGACCTCTGCAACTAATATTTGAGTTGAGTGACCAAAGTGTAACTTGGAGTATAGTTGAAGGACCATTGCTGCAAATAACCCATAATAATAATATATTTAAAAAGTATAGCTGCTCGGCTATACGATTTAATTTTTTTTTAACGATAAGGGTTATTCGCAGCAATGGTCCCTCAATTATACCCGTAGTTACACTTTGGTCCATCAATTCAATTATTAGTTGCGGGGGTCACTCAACTAAGTGCTATGTTGCACCAATAGTCCTTCCGTCAAATCTGTTAAATTTTCTGTTAAAAATGAGGGTAAATTAGGAAATTCATCCACAACCCTCCATTGTCGCAACCCAATCCTTGCTTCTCCTCTCTTGTACCAAAATCTGGGCAGAAAAAAGAAAAGAGAAAGACAACTCAATTGCTTCTCCTCCCTTGTACCAAACTCGCCACCCAATCCTTCCTCCCACCCCAACCCAGCACTCACTGTAAACCATCAACCATAAACATCCATCAATTTCTATGTTTTTATATTTTGATTTTTCTATTCGTTTTTAGGACAAAATGGAACTCCGAGTATAGTTGAGAGATCATTGCTACAAATAATGTTAACTGAAAAGTCACATTTGCCCTTCAATAATTTAAGAGATACTTGCGACGTCATCATTTTAAACATAAAAAGTAACAGACTTGACGTTATGACTAACGGTGCAACAAAACAGCTAATTGAGTGACCTCTGCAACTAATATTTGAGTTGAGTGACCAAAGTGTAACTTGGAGTATAGTTGAGGGACCATTGCTGCGAATAATCCATAATAATAATATATTTAAAAGATAATTTATTTAAAAAGTATAGCTGCACGGCTATACTATTTATTAAATAATTAAATAAAACCCGCCTAGCGCCTAAGCGGCCGTCTAGCGATTGGGCGATTTCTGAGTAGGCGAAGTGACAGTTGGAGCTCGATCTTTTCCTTAGTGTTATTCCAAAGGCCTCTTCCCATCTACAAATCTACCTTCTTCTACAAAATTGAATTTTTTGATTGGCCCAATTTGGGGATTTACTCGGCTCTAGCCTATATAATTTTCTGTGCCTGTCCGAGACTGCGAGCCGAAAATTATTCACATCATCAAAGTAACGTTCAATAAATCAATTTGTCACCTGAACGTGAATACTGAAGCTGTATACTTTCCCCGGGGAAGAGCTATGTAGCGGCAAAACCCATTCTGGTAAACCAATGCTCCCCAAAAGAAAAGAAAAAAAAAATACATCTCCGTGTAAAGATGTATAAGCAAACAAAGCATATGCGTTGTTTTCAGACAATTCCAGATTCTGACCAGAGCATTTCCGGTAACTCCCTCATTTCAATTATCATATTATGCACATATTATACTTAATTGGGATTATTGGATAAGCGGTTTTGGTTCTTGACCTGCGTAGATGAGGAAGAATCTGACCAAGATTGGCCCAACAAATGCCTTACCCTTGACGGGTCCGCCAAGAAAAAGGTTTTCATTTCTATTTTTAATTCTTAATTTTCCTTCAATGTTCTTGATTTATGTGTATGTGCATGTGCATGTATCAATGCATCAATGTGTGTGTATCGTTTTATGTAGTTAGAATTTTGATTTCTTAACAGGAGGAATTACCACTTTCATCACGGCTAGAAATGCTCAAAGGTAACATGTTTTTCCAGAATTGGCTGCTAGTGTTGTACTGCCATAGGCTCTTTGAGCAGAGGTAATGTTTGTTTAATTGTTTCTGAAGCTGGTGCGCATGTGGATGCCTGCAACTTGGAGGATGACGTGAGCTCTGGCGATGAGGTATGCATTCAGATATAGACATATCTTATTTATGTATTGTGTGTTAGTGTGCTAGTGTAAGGCGGTAATATGCTTGCAACCTGTTTGTGGAAAAGCGGAACAATGTGCTCCCGAAAATTTATGTCACTGTTGGTGGTAAAAAGTTGCAGAAAGATGATGTTCATAGCATTGGAAAAGAAGACGGATCATACACATGGTCTGCGGCAACTAAAGAAGTTGAGGAACTTATGCGTTCGAATGAGAAAAATTCATGTTCATCGTCACATTCTTCTTACTTGAAATTGAATAAATCATCTAAAGGTACGGTCTCGTGTTTGCAAGGTAATTCTTGATTTTTGGGTTTATTGTCACAATCTGTAGTCTTTTTTTTAACTGCAAAATCAACTGCTGTAGGAGTCAAAGGCAAAGGCAAGCCAAAGTTTTCGTTCCGTTTCCCAACACACAAGGAAGGACACTCTTGGCTTTCTGTATATAAGGATGACAATGATGTTTCATTCAAGGTTCAAGAATTGCCTGAGAGGTTGGATTATAGAACTGAAGAAAATTCAGATGCTGAGCTCCTTGAGGATATTCAGGTTGAGGAGGAAAATCAGTTGGAGATTGTGCCTTTTGAAGTCAATGAACATGGGCATGGCTGTATTGAGCAGTCAATGGCAGAGCTTTTAGATGGCCTTCAGGATAAGACAACTATGGCAAGAGGAAGTTCCAAAATGGTTTTCTGTCTTCTTCAAACATGTTTTTCTCATCCTTTTCCCATTACATTTTTTCTCTCCCCTGTCTGATCCGGTGTTTGCTTCAGTATAGTAGAAAAAGATGTAAAAGGGGGCAGCCTGTTGTGAAGAGAGTACCCCCACTTGGAGATAGACTTATCGACAGTGAAAGCTCCCCTGAGCACTTAGGCCCTGAATCGCCAAGTGATAGCGAGGTATCTCTTTTTTCTGCTTGCTTTATAGGCTATTTCCCATTCAAATCAGTACTCTAGCTAATGTACATTCTTAAACAGGCTGATGATCAAATTTTGAAGCTTGATAAACCGGAGGTGAAGAGGCAAACATTGGTAGATCGATTTCAGGAAGCTTTAAGTGACAGATCCCTTGTTACAGTGCCTAAAACATTAAGGTACACAGTGTGATCATGTTATACAAGTGCAGTTGGTGCTAGTAGAAGTGCTTCTATACTGATTGCTGAATGTGCTTATATACTGCCAATTTTGTAGAATTGGATTATTTGGGCAACTGCAGCAGGTCGTTCAGAGTGAAAAAGAAAGTGATATGGAATTCTTAAAGAATATTGAGAACGGAGCTAACCAAAGTAATAAAGCCTTGCGATTGTTATATTTTTATTTTATTTCTACAAGCGTAGAATACTTGGATACGACAAAGAACTTTGTATATGTGGGTTTGTACTTCTAGGCGAAAAGGAAAAAAATTCTGTAAGATATATCCTGCGGCCTATTGTTCATCTCCTGTTTCATGTTTATATCTCAGAGGAACCAAGCTGCATCGATGTGAAAATTTGTTCGAGACACTTGGATGCAAAGCTGACAGTTTGCCACTGCTCGTTAGGCAATAACTTAAAGGTCATGGTAATGATCATTTCTTAGATGTTCTTTCAGCAGCATGTTTATGAGTGAATACACATGCATATTTTCTGATGGCTTTGTTAGAAAGGATGAGTGATGATGCATATTTGTTTGTGCAGAGCCTCCCACGGTCAGGGAGCCCCAAGCACATGCTGAACGAAGAAACAACACAGACAGTTATTTTCAATCCAAGAGTTTGCAATGATGTTGACCTTGATGCTGGGAAATGGATTCGTATTCATGCTCCATGGTATGAGACTGAAATTTGAACCTTTGCTAGACTTGGCTTATTTTGCATTACTGCAGTGGGGGTTGGAAATACCACCAGAATTTGATTACTTCTTAGTTGTGTATTATTCTACTACAAATATCATGATTAATGTGAAGTATGATGGGTAAAATCTGGGCAGGAAGGAGATTCATGTGGGCAATGACAAAAGCATTATCCTATCCACTTATTTCTCCGAGATTTGAATTTGACAAGCTTTCAAAGTCCACCCCATCCGGTGATGAGCAGGCCTTACATGGGAGGTGGGTTTGAATATCAATTGAAGGTAATCCACAACCTCCATTGGAAAATCTTATTCGCGATAAGAACCCTATGCTGCCAGTGCCAGACGGTTATGCTCTGCCTGAACACTGTTACGGCTATCCAAGTGGCGTAGCCAGTGAAGAAGGTGAATTTGTCTTTGAAATGAATGCTGCTTTTTATGGGAGGAGTGCTTGGTGGGTGAATTTTTTTGGTTCAGTTGGTTATGATGGTGGCTATGAGAACCATAAATATTGGTGTCTTTTAACATGGATCTCTACCTCAAAACAGTTTGTCAACTGTTTAACCCAGTTCTAGTTTGATTTGCAATTGCTATGATTGGCTCAGCAGGATTCAGGAAGCAAGGGAAGCTGCTTTGGCAACTTAATAACTCCGTTACCAAACACCATGCGTCTATGCAATCAGATTTTTGTTATTTCTAGCACCATGAACAACGTTGCTTCTTACACATGTAGTTTTGTTGGGAGTCGATCCCAATCCGTTTTAAGTGTACATAAGTTTAGTGACAGATATACGGTACTTGTAAATTTGGATTTGCCACTGTGGTTGGGCTTTTTTTCACTTTGCTAGCGTAACTTGTAAGCATACTTCTTGTTCAGAATTTTGCTTAAAAAATAGAAACTAGTGGATGTGGGGAAATTCTGTTTTTCATTTTGACTTTGGTAGATTTTAATAGAGCTAGTTCATTAATCTAGCATCAAAGTCGTTGTAGTATAGTGGTAAGTATTCCCGCCTGTCACGCGGGTGACCCGGGTTCGATCCCCGGCAACGGCGCTTGTTTTTGACACTTTTTCTTTGGTCGAGCCTTTTTAAATTAACTATGTTTAAACTTGAAAAATTTACTTTAGGCCCCATGGATTAATTAATAAATTACTGGAAAATACGACGAATAGCGTAAGAACGTGCCCATTCTATCAATCATCAGGCAGGCGTGGTTCGGACGCGAACGACATCCCGCTTTTGTCGTGCACTCCAATCAACGAATAAAATCACCTGCACTTTCTGGATCACAATTCTGAATTTCACTCGAAGCCTAGCACCACAAGGACACTATTGTCCTTCCACCCAAAAAAAATAAAAGGACACTATTGTCTCTTTCTTCTCCCTAAATTCACCAAAAATCTCCTCTCCTTTCTCCAATTCTGTGTGCAAACCCGAAAAGGAGCAAACAGTAATTTGAGCACTGTATTATCTCTTAGCTCCTGATATCAAATCAATCCTCGAAAATTCCTTCCAGATCCTCCTCCAATGGCGACCCTCTCTGCCTTCGCACCACCCTCGTGGCCTGACCCCAACTCCAACGCCACTTTCCACTCCGAACCCATCGACGACACCTCGAGCGTCGCCGATTCGTCGATGTCAGCCGACGACAACGCCCCCCAATCACCCCCGGACCCTAACCCTAATGTCCACAGCAACCCCTTCTCCGTACCCCAAGAGCTGCCAACCCCTCCTGCGTCACGCTCGCCTCCGTCGCTGTTCCACCTGTCCTTCAACCAGGACCACGCCTGCTTCGCCGCGGGTACGGACCACGGCTTCCGGATCTACAACTGTGATCCGTTCCGCGAGCTCTTTCGCCGGGACTTCGACAACGGCGGCGGAATCGGCGTCGTTGAGATGCTCTTCCGCTGCAACATCCTGGCCATAGTCGGTGGTGGGCCGGACCCTCAGTACCCCACCAACAAAGTCATGATCTGGGACGACCACCAGGGCCGGTGCATCGGAGAGCTCTCCTTTCGCTCCGTTGTCCGGTCCGTACGGCTCCGCAGGGACCGAATCGTCGTCGTTTTGGAGCAGAAGATTTTCGTGTACAACTTCGCCGACCTGAAGCTACTGCACCAGATTGAGACGATCGCGAACCCCAAGGGGCTCTGCGCTGTGTCGCAAGTGGCCGGGTCACTGGTGCTGGTGTGCCCTGGCTTGCAGAAAGGGCAGGTCAGGGTTGAGCATTACGGGTCCAAGAGGACCAAGTTCATCATGGCTCACGATTCCAGGCTTGCATGCTTTGCTCTCACACCCGATGGCCAGTTGCTCGCCACCTCCAGCAACAAAGGGACTCTTGTTCGGATTTTTAATACGCTTGATGGAACTTTGCTTCAAGAGGTATGCTTTTTTATATTCAAATTATGAAGAAAATTTCTGAATTTTGTTATTGCATCATTTTAGATTGGTATGGCGTGTCAAATGTTGATATTGGTCGTCATTCGATGCAATGTGTTCTATAGTTGAGCTTCAAGTTCTTGAATTTTGGGGCATCTTATAATAGAGAGGTGTGGGATTGCTGAAATTGAAAGCCTTGTAGTATCGATAAGCACTTGTAAGTCGCAGGTTACTGTTCATGGGCATGGTGATTAATATTTCAGTTTATATGGGAATGGGATGGTTACATTGCGAGGAAGTTTCCTCTACCATTAACAAGGTCTGTGCTAATATTTACTTAATTCATTATTTATGATACATTTTGTAAGCACTTTATGAAACTTAGTTGGTTCAGGGATCTAGATCAGACATGCATTATTACGAAGTCATGTCACAGGCATGACCTTGTAAACCTGCACATTCATGTATGCATAAACCTAGAAAGCAATTAGAAGTAAGTTTGCCATCAATTGGTCCTGGTAAGAAAAGAACAACAACCCCATTTGTTCCACCACCGCCAAGTCCAAAACAAATCTTTAACGTGATTTTTTTTAAGGGATCCTTATGTTTGAATGACATGGTGTGAGCTGTAAGTTGTAAGTTGAATGACATCGGAAAGCTTTTTTTTCTCCAGTTATGTTCTCGTTTTTTCTGAACTTTGAAGAGGGTGCATCCCTACTCCCTTGGAAATCTGAAATGGTGTTGATGTATGATTACAGATTCAAAATTTTATTTATTTATGAATTCGAGTTAATTGGATGCAAATGCAGGTAAGGAGGGGTGCGGACAGAGCAGAAATCTATAGTTTGGCATTCTCTTCAACTGCCCAGTGGCTTGCAGTCTCTAGTGACAAGGGAACTGTCCATGTTTTCAACCTTAAGGTGAATTCTGGGTCCTCTGGAAATGAGAATTCACGAACTGCATCTGATCCTAATCTTGCTGTTTCATCATCAAACTCCTCTCTTTCTTTCATCAGAGGTAAACTCCCCCCTCCCCCTCCCCTCTCCCCTCAATATTTGAATTTTTCTGATCTGTTTTCTGTCAGCACTTTTTGAACATTCTACATAGTTGACAAATTGGTCATATTGGGGATTTCCAATACCATATGCTGAAATACTAGTGAATTTTGAATACCAATAAAGAATAGAGTGCAGTGCATTGTTACTGCGGCACTATAAGATGTCTTAAACCTAAATTTAAGAGCACGATGAAGTTTATGTGGTTGCGTAAAAGAATTCCTGATATACCTTTTCTTGCAAAGTCAGATCATTCTGTTGAAAATAATTGTTAGAAATACGGTACAATCTGATTATCTGAGTGGATGAAGTCTGCTTTTCTTGTGTTTCCTCACCCTAATTTGTAATACCAAGTGGTACACCGGCAAGGAACATATCATTTATAAAAAAAGAAAGAAAAGGTGAATGGATCTGAGTCTGGTTTTTGCTTGCAGGTGTGTTGCCTAAGTATTTTAGCTCAGAGTGGTCTGTTGCTCAGTTTCGCTTGCTTGAGGGCTCTCAATACATTGTTGCTTTTGGTCACCAGAAGAATACAGTGGTAATTCTTGGCATGGATGGAAGGTAAGAAAATAAATTTTAGATGGTTTTGCAATTTCATGTGATGAGTTTGGAATTGAAACTTTGTTATGAAATTTGAATTTGGATGCAGCTTCTATCGATGTGAATTTGACCCGGTGAATGGAGGAGAGATGACCCAGCTGGAATATCACAACTTTCTAAAGCCAGAAGAAGCCTTTTGAAGTGATTTATATATTGTACTATCCTATCCTATCCTACCTACAGTGTTCTAAGTACTGTTTGGTCTTCTGCTTTGTTTTTCTCCCCAGTTTTAGCATATGGGTAAATTATGTTGTAAATACATGAGCATGTAAATTTGTAAATTTCTGAGTGATGTACCAACAGTAAATTTAAGAAAAGAAAAGGAAAAAAAAAACTAACTTATAAAGAAAATGCTTTGTAGTGCTGTTTTTGTTTTGTTTTTTAGTATGTGAATGAAAAGTGTTAATTTTTCCCAAATCTGTGGGCTTTGGGTTTGATGGCAGCATGCGAGCCTATGAAATTGGCAGACATCATGTGAGAAGTTGGTGTAGGACAAAATCCCGTGTTTCTCTTTTGATCCCGTGTGAACTTATTGTTATTTTTAATGCCCGCAGCCTGCAGCCTGCAGCATCAATCAACCCTAACTCTGAAGTAACTTCTTCCATCTCTTGTCCATTACCATTTGTGTGGGAAATTGCAATTGACCGCTGCTGATGGCCACAGAATGGACTTGTGTTGCGTAGCTCTGATTAAAATTGGACTCGGGGTTTGTGTGGTGTTTAAAAATGAGAGCAAATCTCAAGATTGCAGGTTGCCAATCATTTTAAATTCACTGCACTGAAATCTTTGTTTGACTGGACAACACTCTTCATTTCATACAACATTAAATTATACAAAGAACAGTATATGCCCCCAATAATTATTGTAATACAACGAGAGCGTGTGTTGAGGGGTTCAATCCAGCTGTTCAATGTGGAGGAGTTTATTAATCAACGGCTATAAAGAATCTCCTTGTTATAACCTCTTAACATAGCCCTTCGTTATAGTTTATAGTTGTTGTGACATGGAAATGATATATTGCTTTGGGGCTTTGCATAGATTGATTTGAATACACAAAAGTTTTCATTATTTTAAAGGGTAGATTTAAAAATGCTATTATAGCAGGCAGGCAGATCATTGCATCGGGGCTTACATTCAGTCACGTGAAATCCAATCGAATAAAACACAAACATCAGTTAAGCAACTGTGGTTGCAATTTTTTTATTTGCAGCAGTACAAGTCCAGATGGTCATGACAGACTGAGAGTATCACAAGGCCGAAGGCCAAGTTATTTATAAGGAGGACCTTGGTTTTGGTCTCTATTCTCTCATCAACATATCCATAGACATAGAGCTATTAATTTGTAGGACTCTCTGCTCTTGCTCTGCTACTCTAACAATGGTGCTCAAGCTGCATGGATTCCCTGTATCTCCCTGCACGGCTCGCGTAGAGGCTTGTCTCCATGAAAAAACTCTCGACTTCGAGTTCGTCCCGGTTGATATTTTGGCCCTTGAAAACAAGCAGCCTTCTTTTCTTGCCAAGAATGTAAAATTTCATTTCCATTAAGTTACAAAAACTTGATAAAATTTTAATTTTATGTATATGTTTATCTAAGCTTATTGTGTTTGGTCATACAATAGCAAATGCCTGATGATATAGTTTTCTCCCCATCATGTAGCCCTTTGGCCAGATTCCAGCATTTGAAGATGGTGACATCACACTTTTTGGTAAGTGTCAACTCTCTCACAAAATCTTCACATATAAATATATAACATATGATATGTATATATTCTAAGTAACATTTTTACAACACCAGAGTCCAGAGCAATCACAGCATATGTAGCTGAAAAATTCAAGGGAACTGGATATGATCTCATTAGGCACGAAAACTTGAAAGAAGGTGCATTGGTGAAGGTATGGATAGAAGTGGAATCTCAACAATACCACCCAGCAATCTGCCCCATTGTGTATGAGTTTTTCGGGAAGCCTGTGGTGGGCTGTAAGCCCGATCAGACACTAATCGATGCTAGCTTAGAGAAGCTCGAGAAGGTGCTCGACGTGTATGAGACCAGGCTGAGCAGCAACAAGTACCTTGCTGGTGATTTCTATAGCCTGGCTGACCTTCACCACTTCTCTTACACTTTTTATTTCATGAAGACTCCTTGGTCTTCATTGATAAACGATCGTCCTCATGTTAAGGCGTGGTGGGAGGACATTTCAGCTAGGCCTGCCTCTGTCAAAGTGGCTGAGGGCATGAATTTTGGTGAAGTTGAAATTAAATGAGTGCTTCTTCTATATCTATGTATCTGTCTGGTGTGTTTTGGATATGGAACAACTTATCCCCATTGAGTGTAGCAGAATAATTTAATACAAAATGTTGTTGTGTGCTCTGTTTTTTTTCCTGCTACTGCAAACATATTCAGAACATCATAGAAAATCTGTAAAATTAATCGTGATTAAGGAGTTCTCATTGAAAATTAAAAGAAACAAAAGTACTGCATTGCCAAGTGCTTTCTTCAACCCTTTTCTAGCTAAGATAACATCTCCCCTGGGTCCTGGCCAACTTGTATATCAGCTTTGGACCACTCCATAGATTTCTCATGGCATGGGACCTCCATAGATTTGTCATTTTCACCCACCTAACAAATTTATCACTTGCTGTCTTCTCTATTGCAAGTCTCCATCTAGAGAGGGCCTTGCTCGATGAAATATTTCAAAGAGGCTGAGATAGCAGCTAATGCTGATGGTATTTTTACGTCCCCACAAGAGAAAAATAGTTTTCTTACCTGTACCTTAAAAAGTTCCAGAAGCTGTATATCCAAAAGTTTCCCAGACTCCCCTACCACTGTCCAAGATGGCTCAGGATCCCTCTACCACAGTTCAAGATAGCTCAGAACTCTTCTTCTTCCTCATCTGTAACTGATTGTAGGTATCAATGATTCTTTTGTATTAATGCCCACTATGTAGATATCAGTGATTGTAACGGATTGTACAATTACTATATAAATCAATATACAACAGCCCACTATGTGTGTGAGCCTTTAAATCATTTTCCAACTCTCTTTGTACTATTTATTTAAAGAGTATAGCTGATCGCCTTTTTTTCTTGGTCAAATAATATATGTAAATAGTATAGCCGCGCGGCTATACTATTTATTTAAAAAATAGATAATTTTAGTTTATACTCGTTAAATATAATAATATAAGTTCACCTCCGCGTCCGCTGATCTCACCCACCTTCCAAATTTGCATTATCTGAAATATGTGAAATTTTGCAGGTGCACATCAAGTTATTAGACCAACGTTTAATAACCTCTTCTGAAATTTTGTGACAGTTTCTTATTTTTCATACCCTCTATTGTTTGGCTGATGGATTACTCCTATCCTCTTCTCTTGTAGACTGTTTCTCTGATTTCATCAGATATATCTGATGAGTGTGATTAAATTCTTCCAATTCTTCGTTCAAAGAAATAAACCAAAAGTTGTGTTATCATTGTAATATCATTAAGCTACCGGGCCACATTGTAATCTCATTAAGCCCAAATATACGTTTCAGATTCAGATGGTCCTCTTGGCCAAGCCCAAACTTAGTTACCTGAAGACATGTGTTTTTGTTTTTTCTTTATTTTTATATTTCTGTAAATAATTGTGAAATAGTTTACCAAGTCGTGTTTGACTTGCACAATTGCATTTCCCTTTTTAGAAGACTGGAGGGTTGTGCTGTGCGTGATTCGTGACATGGGTGCATATGCAAACCCCCAGGCAAGTTGGAGAGTTTGGCCAAAAGTTTGTCAAACTAAATCTACAAATATATATTATTAATATTCTTGAAGAGCCACCCCAAAATTAATATTTGAAAATGACACTATGAGAGTCATCGACTACGTATTCAGCTTGCACAAAAAGCCACATTTTTTTCACCAAGGCATTGATCAATGATCCCTCCCTCCTCCTCCTACCTTATAAATATATCATTAGGCCTGCCATATCATAAGGTCCAAATCACAACACATCTTTTGCTCAATTTCTTACTTGTTCCGAATCATAACACAGTCATGGCTACCATCAAAGTCTATGGAAGTACCTTTTCCACCGCTGCAATGCGAGTTTTTGCTGCCCTTTATGAGAAAGACATCGAGTTCGAGTTGGTTCCGGTTGACATGAGAGCTGGGGAACATAAAAAGGCGCCATTCATTTCCCTCAACGTAAGTATATCACAATGACTTCGAATTTGAATTTGAAAGACTAGAATTTTCATGTTTGCAGTCAATCTCACATTTCTGTGCTTGCTTTTGGTGCAGCCATTTGGTCAAGTTCCAGCTTTTGAAGATGGAAATCTTAAGCTCTTTGGTAAGTTTTTGTGTTTTGCTCGCTCACATCAAATTCATACACAGCATACATGAAATATGAATTTGTGTAACTTGTATTAAAGTGTGCACCTTCTGATATGCAGAATCAAGGGCAATTACACAATACATTGCCCATGAGTATTTCGACAAGGGAACCCAGCTGGTGATCCGAGACTCAAAGAAGATGGCAATTCTATCAGTGTGGACGGAGGTGGAGGGTCAAAAGTTCGACCCAGCAGCCTCAAAACTGACCTGGGAGCTAGGCATAAAGCCGCTGCTTGGCAAGCCCACAGACTCGGCAGTGGTGGAGGAATATGAAGCCAAGTTGGCTGCGGTTCTTGATGTTTATGAGGCTCGTCTGGCTCAGTCGAAATACTTGGGAGGTGACAGCTTCACCTTGGCAGATCTTCACCACCTTCCAACCATAAATTACCTGATGGGAACACAATCGAAGAAGCTGTTCGAATCCCGGCCCCATGTTAGCGCATGGGTAGCTGATATCACTGCAAGGCCAGCTTGGAATAAGGTCATTGCCATGCGAAGCTAGTAGTAAAAGACTGCTGTTGCTGGCTACTCAACAGTCATGTATCTTCAATAATTCCATGTATTTTGGCTTCATATATGCCTTTGATTTTCCTTTTCAATAAATAGTTGGACAAGACTCTTCTGCTGCTGCTGGTGTTGTGGTGGCATGCCTTTGAGTTCTTGTCTTCCATCCTCAATATGAAGATTGATATGCCTTTACAATCTGTTTTTGGTGTTTGCCCATCCGGTAGTTGATCTCAACTGTCTTCATCTAAAATTCAAAAGATAACCAAGCTGCAAGCAGAGCATTCACCATCCAATAAACTTGATGTAGTCAGTGAAATGGAAACAACCCAACCCAATTCAATAATAGAACAGAACCAATCCCTTGCAAATACAATGTGACTTATTGTGCTAACAGTTGAGTAACTTGGTCAGAGGGTTCAAATTCCACAGAACTACAGCCCAAGTCTTTCTTAAGGTCTCTCTGTTTCATCATCCCCCTCACTTTCTCAACATCATTCCATCTTCCCATCTCTGCATAAATATTAGACAGCTGAACATAGTAAGCACTATTCCCTGGCTCTAGTTCAACAAGCTTCCGAGCTGCAAACTCGCTCAATTCCAAGTTCCCATGAGTTTTACCACCAGCCAGCAATGAACCCCAAATAGCTTTAGTAGGCTCATAAGGCATTTCTCTTAAGCACTTCAAAGCATCTTCAAGATACCCAGAACGTGCTAACAGGTCAATCATACAAGCATAATGTTTCACCCCAGGCAAAAATCCATACTTCCCATCACTCAAGGAACGAAAAATCTGCCTGCCGATATCTACCAACCCCGAATGACTACAAGCATTTAAAACCGAAACCAAAGTCACTTCATCTACTCTGATCCCTTCTTGTTCCATCCTCTTAAACCACCCAAACGTCTCCTTACCATTTTTAGCAAGAGCTAGCCCTTTAATAAGTGCATTCCAAGTAAAAGTGTTTTTCTCTTTCATGCTATTGAAAACAGCCAAACCTTCTTCAATCCTACCACATTTTCCATACATATCAATCAAAGAAGTTCCCAAGATTACATCCAATTCCCAGCCACTCCTCCTTATAAAGTCATGTATCCAAACACCCATCTCAAGGGCCCCAAAATTTGCACAAGCAGCTAAAGCATTCACCATTGTCACATGATTGGGGACCACACCAGCATATTGCATCTGTTCAAAAGAAATCAAGGCATCATCATAATTCTCGGAGTTCCGGTACCCCATTATTAAAACCGTCCACGACACAACATCCCTCTGGGGCATTTCATCAAACACCTGTCGACAAAACTCCATACGGCCACACGATGCATAGACATTCAATAACGAGTTATGCACGTAAATATCATAGAGATGACCCAATTTTAAGACATGGGTATGCAAGCATTGCCCTTGTTTGAAGTCGTGGGAATCAGCTAGGGACTTTAGAAGGAAAGGGAAGGTGAAGTTATTTGGAAGAATGGAGCTTTTATGCATGTGGATGTAGATAGAGAGAGGGATATGATTATGAATCTGATTATGAGGAGTGTGGGAGTGAGAGAATGCTCTAATGAGAGAATTGCAAATGAAAACATGGGGTTTGGGAAGCTGGGTTAGGAAGTGGAGGTGGGCTAAATCCAAGAGGCCAAGAGATTGACAGGCAGAGATGAAGTGGGAGGCAATGGTGGTGTTTGAGTGAAGGTTTAGGAGGATGAGTTGGGCTTGGATTTGGTTGATGTGAGTAGCAGAGGAGCAGTTGCTGAGGAGAGAGAGAACTCGACTTGTTGCAGAGCTGAGCTGCGGAAGTGGTCTCATCTCATCTGAGAACAGAGAGCAAAGACGAACGAAATTTCAGTGTGCACAGGGAGGGTTTTGTATTCCCTTTTTTTTAATAGCAGCGGAGGAAAAATTGGTCAAAAAAAAAAAAATTAATGCGCATCCAGGGAATCGAACCCTGGTCAGTACCGTGGGAGGGTACTATGATACCACTACACCAGATGCGCTTCTTGCTATTCAAAGCGAAACAATCGTATTAAACTTGAACTTTGATGCCGATCTACTATGCACTTTTACTCTTTCTTCTCCTCTCTCTCTCTCTCTCTCTCTCAAGTCTCCAACTACTCCACCGCAACGAGGACGCCAATCGCCAGAGGTTAGAAATTTCTCCCCACATCTTTTTATTTAACTTGGTTTGCTACGAATTCACCATTAAAAGCATGTTAATTTATGCTTTAGGTTGTGTTTGTTTATGTGTGAACTAAAGAAAAAGATTGCAACTTTTTTCTTTTTGTAATCCTTTTAATCAGAAGTAAGAAAATGCAATAGATAAGAAAATGCAATAGAAACTTCTTTTTTTTTTTTCTCTAATTCTTTTGGCTTCCAAAATGTTTACAAAACCTCTACTTATTTTCAATATCCTCTATTCTCAGTAGCTGGATGAGTTGATAGGATAAAGTTTGAAATAATTACAGGGAGCAACAAAAGCTCTTCATTTCTAACGAGTCAAATTTCAAGTCTTTAATTTTAAGAGTTTGATGGGGAGCCCATTAGAGCTCCATTGTTCCATCTGTATACTCAAAATAGCTAAAGGAAAAGTATGGCTAGCCTCAATGATATTGGAGATGATCTAAAGTGTTTAAGTAATTTTCATTAACATAAATTTTTGTATTAAAAAATTCATTAAATGGTGCTCTGGAGAGTAATGTTTTGGTGCATTTTGAATTGCCCTGCAAATAGGTTTTGTGGACATCATCTCAGTAATTTCTAACAGAAAAGGCAGAAGACCATAGGAAGTTGAAAAATGAGGATAGTGGGACTGACTGGTGGAATTGCTTCTGGGAAGAGTACCGTCTCAAATCTCTTTAAGACCCATGGCATTCCAGTGGTTGACGCCGATCTTGTTGCTCGAGTAAGTGATGGGCAAAAGCTGAATTTTCTAATTTTGACAATCATGAAAGATGGATGGCAATGAATTCTTTTCATCTAATTCAAGGACTAATCATTTTTTGGTTTCAGGATGTATTAAAGAAGGGCACTGGTGGCTGGAAAAAGGTTGTTTCAGCATTTGGAGAGGACATTTTACAACCTGATGGAGAAGTTGATAGGCCTAAACTGGGGCAAATTGTATTCTCTAATCCTGAAAAGCGCCAAATTTTGAACCGGTATGTACTCTTTTGCAAATAGCTCCAGGTTTTCTTTGCACGATTTCACTTAGAGTCTCACTTCTTTTTCTTTTTTTTTGGCTGTATACAAGACCATAGTCTAGTCATTTTTCATACTAAGATTTTACTTCCTAATTCAACTTATTCCTAGTGAAGTTGAGTATAACATACTCCTTTATAAATGTAGTCACCATTGGATCTACTGGGTGCTTGTTAAAAACATAGTGTTTCTTGTTAGTCACCATTGGATCATACTCCTTTATGGTTGTGAAACTATACCATTCAGGTTGTACAATACTCCCTCAAGTTTTGACTCATCCAGGTCAAAATTCATGAGTATGCATGGAAATTACGCCAATTCCTTTTAGTCAAAATTTCCTGGATTTTATCAGGATCAGAATATTCTAGTACCACTATGAGAGTTTGTATTGGATTAGTTTATAGCACAAGTTACTATCATATCAGCTATAATCTCCAGTTTTTATCTTCGTGTAGACTACTAGCTCCTTACATATCATCTGGAATATTTTGGGAAATGTTGAAGCTATGGATGAAGGGGTTTAAGGTTATTGTTCTTGATGTCCCTCTTTTGTTCGAGGCCAAGATGGACAAATGGACAAAGCCCATTATTGTCGTATGGGTTGATCCTGAAACACAGCTCCAGAGACTCATGTTAAGGGACAGAACAAGTGAGGATGATGCTCAAAATAGGATCAATGCTCAGATGTCACTCGATCTAAAAAGGACCAGGGCAGACATTGTGATTGATAACACTGGATCACTGGAGGATTTGAAAGAACAGTTTCAGAATGTCCTATTTGAAGTTACAAAGCCCTTGACATGGACTGAATTTGGGCTTTCTAGACAAGGAGCCGCGTCCGTTCTTGTTTCCATTATTGTAGGTGTTCTTATATTCAGAAAAGTTTATAATACTGAGAGTTTGTAGCAACCTTGGAATTGTACGTGTTGAGATCTTTATCTAAACCTCTATGTCCTTGATAGAACAAGCTTCACATTGTCTTCTGTAGCAACAATGAAGAATGATTCTATGCATTTACAGTCTAAAATTATTGCACTAGAGCTTTGATTTGTTTTGTTTCTAGGTTATTTATCTGTTCCATAACTTGATACGGGTTGAGCTTTGATTTGTTATGTTTCTTAGGGATTAAGCAGAGAAAATAATAATGTTGCTCACAACCCTCTGATGTTAAAGCTTTTTTACGTTGAGTGTTGAAATGTAAAGGGTGGTCGGGTACAAAAGGAAGTCAAGTCGTTTTCGGTGATATTTTGGAACGCATTAGGAAGTCAAGTTTATAAATTTCTTTTCTGAGATTGGATGACATTGTTAAATTTTAATTGATAATGGCCCCGTTTGTATGCCAACAAGCACAAAAGCAAGATCTGTTCTGAGTGCTAAGTGCAGTCACAGGTCACTCCAGTGTTCAAGACATGGCTAAACCATTGGTGTGTATAAAGTGCCGATAAGTGAAGCCCCATTACAGTATTGTGTGCTGTGACGATATGGAATTTTTTGTATGTACTGATATAGACTGGCCTCTACGTTTGATGAGTATCAGCCAGAAAAGCTGAGAAATATATATGATATCTCTGGTTCTAAAATAATCTGTAAGCAAAAGTGGTGCCATTGTTTAGTTATAATCATTTGATCTCTTCCAGTTGCCTTTGAGAATGTTGATTGTTATCTTTTGTATATCGCTTTTGCCTTTTGATTTGCAGAGACGTGCACTGCTGGCAAGCACATTAACAGTTAACTACTTGCTGTTTCTTTCATAGTAAAGCTGATTGTCCTGCATTATACAAAAGGAAGGCAGCATTTCATTTACGATGCTCCTCTTGTGAAAATAAATCAGTTTAGATCATTCATCATTGAACAAGCAAGCAGGACAGCATGTAGTATAATATTAGTTATGGTTTGGTTTGGTTTGATTTGATTCGGTTCAAAAGTACACTCTTTGTAGTGTAAACACGGAACCAAACCGCTCAAATTGGGTCGGTTTGGCTACCCTATTGAAGTGGGCGATTCAGTTTAGTTATCAGTCATCAACTACATTAGGTACAGGGTGTTCAAAGGTTGGTGTTGGTATAAGGTGTTGAAGAGGTAATTCCGCCATGGACTATCATTTTCAAGAGCTATTGCCACTGGCCTATTAAATAATATATAGCTCACTAGAGGTGTGTCGTCATGGAATTAAGTTTTTGCTTTCATTAAATAAAAAAAGTAGTTTTTCTTTGTCCCTTTTGATTTTACTGTTTGGCCGATAGTAGTCCAAAAACCCATCAAAAGTTAGTTGAAAGCAAGCATAAGGGAATGGTTCCAAAGCAAGGAAGTTGCCGTAGTCTTTTCTAATAACTCAATAATTTGATCGCCCTGACACTCCACCAAACCAAACCATGTACAATACTCTGCATGCAAAATGAGGGCAGCTTTTCAGATCAGTA